GCGATAATAATGCAGGCCCTAGTTGGTAGTCCATACCTGTTAACATGACCAAGTCCAATTGTCAGTGACTTCATGGATTGATTCCATGTTTGGGTTTGACCACCCCTAGTTTTTTCCGGCCTGCCCCTGCACTAGACAACATTGCTCGACAGGGTAGACAGTGGTGGAGCGTACGTACCACATGTCCTAACCACTTTAGTTGAAGAACCATCCACCAATCAATTTCCCACTTCAACCTAGTACTGCATTCCTAACTCATTATTTTTAATCTGCGGTCCCGAAATACATGAGCAGTGCTTCGTGGACACCTATGATCGGATACCACTAATCTGAGGATGTTCTATACTCATAATGACCATCAGTACTGATAACACTTTCAGGATAAGCAAAGCAGTCGATGCGTGCAACTACATCACTAATTCAGGCAACCATACAGGCCAATGCAGAAGTAATATTTTTTTATTTGGAGGAAAATAATCGCATCCCGAACATGCATTGTTTCTTAAGGTGGTCAGAAATCTACATCGTCAATGACTTCAAATGCCCTGGTACGACCGAGAGTGAGGCTAGTCAGCTCTCCATCTCTCAAAATGCTCCCAAATGGCAACGTGCATACAACCATTGCCAGGGAAGTCCCACTCGCTGCCTCCTCGTGGTGGAGTTGTCTACGAAATTGAGGGGACGAAAAGCGAATGTTCGGCGATTTAACCGGGTTGTTGGATATGAAAGACCCATCTAGGGGGTTTGGAGAACCATGATTCTAGACTAATGGTGTACATGGGATACAGGATCCTGAAGGAACAAATGACATGTGAACCAATCGTTGGTCACCCGCTACCATGGAACTGCATCTCGACGTTGTTCCACTGCCTTGTGGATTAAACCTTCAGGCCAAAGGTTCCGGTGTGACCTCTTAAGAAAACCACGTGCTTCGGTTTGGGCACCCGGGCAGTATCCCAGCCTTAACATAAGTCGAGTGATTCATGTGGCGCATATCTGTTTCTTGCCACCTTGTAGCAATGTTTATGTGTCTAAATAAAACATCTATGAATTTTGAGTCAACAAATGAATCTTATTTATTTTAGCATAGATATTGGTACAAGGAGGCACCAATTACATATGCGCCACACAAATCTCATTCGATATGTGTGAGGACTGTGATACTGCCCGGGTGCCCAAACCGAAGCACGTGGTTTTCTTAGGGGGCCAATCCCCAAGCCTTCCACCTGGAGGTCTGATCCACAAGGCAGTGGAGCATCGTAAGGAGATGCAGTCCCATGGAAGCCGGTGACCAACAATTGGTTCATAAGCCATTCGTTCCCGCAGGATACTGGAGCTCATGTGCACCATTGGTTTGGAATCCGGCTAAAGACCCGGACATTCGCTTCTCGTCCTCTCATTTTCGTAAACAACACTATCAGTGTGTAGTGTATGTTTGCTGTTTCGGCCACAAAAGGAAGCCGAAGGGTCATGATCAGGGATTAAAAATGTAACTAACTGTTATTAAGCTCACCTTTTTATAGACCATAATTCACCACTCGCAAATTTGTTATTTTTACGGTATGATGTCAACCGTTATCTAATATGTTCACCTTTACGATGAAAAGTACTTGCAAATTCTCAACTTCATATTCGAATTAATTTGTGACAACTGTCTTCCAGTTTGAGTGCTTCGTACGCCCTGGGAGACTAGATTCCTACATTATTCACAGTTCCAGTATAACTTTCTCACACAGTAAGTTCAAAGTCAACACTAGTCTTTCTAAATAAGCATGTTAAGCTAATATCCGTATTCTCTATGTCAGATGATTGAAGACAAGTACCACGTGCATCTGTTGTATATTGTTATTTTACTCCAATTCTTACTGTTATATCTTCTGAAAAATAAAATTGCTATATGCAGCAAATACAGACTTATTGTTTTGATGGTGGTAGGGGGGTTCATTGGTTTTTTAGCAGGACTGTAGTAATATTCCCACTAAAGAGCTAAGTGAGTGCGTAGACCAATGTAAAGTACCATACAGGGTGCCTTTGAATTACTCGTGTTCCATTAGTGTCGGTAGAAGCATTACTTGCTTATCATATGGCAGAGGCTATATACGCGTGGCCAAGTGAGAGCATTTCGAGAGGGAGAACGGACTCTCCCCACTCTCGGCCGTACCAGGGCATTTGGGGGCCAAATGAATCTAGTACAAGATAAACCCCTGAAAAATCAGATCTCATTATGAAATTAAATAAAAGTGGAAAAAGCGGACAACCCTGACGAACACTACTTGAAGCAACCAGTTCCGACGGTAGTTCTTCGTAAGCTCTGAGTCGACCAGTAGTGTTCCATTAGAGCCTATAATTCTTTGGTACACCTTTCAATGACACCTCATGATCAGCAGAGTCGAACGCTATCTTAATGTCAAGCAATACAATTATAGCAGGATGTCGAAAAGTGTGTCTGTCTCCCAGAATTTGCTGAAAAGTGAATGTTCGTTTTATACATCATCACCCAGGTCTGATACCATCCTAGCTTTCTTGGATTTGCCGTAGTTAGACGTCGAAGTACTATTGAGGCTAATATTTTAGACACTGTGGTTGTCAAATTTTTCTCTTGTAAACTGAGACGACAAGCGATCGAGATCAGTCATATTTTAGCTAAAATCACAGTTAGTCTAACTGTTAAATCTAGACCAGGATCCTTAAAAATCTCGGGTTGGTATATCAGGCTCTGCTGCTCTCTCTCGCTTTAGATTACTTATAGTCGTTTAAACCTCACTAAGGGTTGGAGGACTTACATCAGGTTACTTGGAGATAGTAGGTAGATGAAGTGTGCGTAAAGGCTGGTTGGACTGTTTCTCAGTGTGGTTACCATTGGTTCCATCTCCGGGGGAGCTTCACCAACACCCGATTCTTTTATAGGTTTTAACAGTTGTCTACTGTTACCCGTTGCTGCTACTTTTTCTTTCGCTACCCACCACTGCTCACAATCATCATGTAAGCTTTTGATCGACATGTTCAAGCGGCCTCGGCTCTCTATCATGTGCTGAGTCAGACGGGGTTAGTTTATGGGCGTCTATCCACTCATTTTCCTAACCTTTTGGTTTAAGTAACTAGAAGATATGACTGCTGTTTTCGCAGCTTTCTGGATATCATATCAACCGACCTCGGAATGGATATCATTTAACGGTTGGCTAGCTCATCCTCGAGTTGTTCATCATTAGACAAATATGTGCTCGGACTAGATGATCCGAGTCCAAATGCTCCAGAATGAGCGACAGTATTCAGTCGAACACCTTCAACGATGGGTAACGGTAATGTGATCGACAAGTCGATTGTGGAGGTCGCTACGTTAGATGATGTTTTTCCTTATGTTTAGAGTTGGTGTTTGTCAGAAATAGACGGCAATGTGAGTCTCATTCCAACAAACGGTCACCATTATTTAAGATAACTAATGTACATTTAATATCACCAATAATACTAGCTATCGGACGACCGACACTGGGGGTAGATATTTAGCTGCCAGCAACACGGATGTTCTTAAAAAATATATTGAGTGAGATAATGTTTCTTAAAGTACTGTCACACTCCGGCAGTTCTTTGCACACAACTCCCTGTTTATAGCTTATAGCAATGTCTATCCCTATACACTGCTTACATCGATCTGGTTGCTTTCCCAATCACTCTGCTTCCATTAATAAGCGGTTTAAACCAGCATATGGTGTTTTAGGAACACTTACGCGTACTTAAACCGTACCGATGTCTCAGACTAACTGTTTGGATATTTTGCGATATTGTTGATTACGAACATATATGTTGGCGGACCTCTGCATTACTAATCGCGAATCACTGTCGGCGTGTATTTACATCGACTAGTCCACGCTACGTGCAAATGATAAGGGACGGAGTTACACAAAAAAGCGTTGAATTTTTCAAAACAGTCACAAAAATAGCTCCGTGTACAGTTGGGTGTGTACCACTTCTCTTACTTCTAAAATTGCCTTATTTCGAAAGCTTCAATTTCGCGATAAGCTCACTGCGATGTTTCACGTGTTCTTTATATGGCTACAAGACTCCTTGTTGGGGAAAAATAGCCAGTGAAAAATACTAGAAGCAATGTATTCTGTTACAAACCTTAAAAAGAATGTTTGTAAGACAAGATTATTCTAGATGAAAACGGACCAAAGTGAGTTTCATAACCTGCAAAGTAAAAATAAATCAACAGGTAACTGTCGCAATAGTATTAGTAGGTTTTATGTTGAGTTTCAATAAATACAAGTAAACCATGTGGAAACGACACGCTCACTTGACCATCGAGCATCGTCATACGGTGTGTCACACTTGACTGTTGTTGTTGCTCATTAAAATCAAACCTTATTCTCAAACACTAAGTAAATAAGCAGTTGTTAACCTGCTGAGTCGAAAATGCACTTTAGTTGCTACTGATTACGCGGTAAACGCAGGGCAGGCAATCTTGGCAAATTTACACTACATAAACTGACTATGGTAAGGTAAATGAAAGGTTAAAAGATCTAACTGTACAGATGCATTGTTCTGACGTTAACATGAGTCTATTTCAATTCAGTAGTGTATTTTCGCTCTCACGTTGCACGGGCAAACGGTTGGTTGCAACTTAAAAGAGAGTATGCAATCAAACACCTAAACCTCAAGAATGCTGCTTCTGTTTTATACTTTGTTACACAGTGTTGACTACGATCACTCGTCTTTCCTAACTCGACTTATATTATGTTAAGTGTTCACAAACGCGATATTTATCTACTAAAATTGAATGTGTCAACCGAGCTAATGTAGAACTTTAATCTTCGTATCTATTTTATAACTTTATGAGTCTGAAAGTAAGGCTTACAGAAACAATATATATTTAACAATATAGCTTTCGTATGGATTTTATACCCACTAAGCATCAAATCACAACTAATTGCGTAAACATTGGAACCAGAATAACCCTGTCGGTAGCTAACGAAACATCGTAGTACGGACAACCCTAGATTAAAGCATGTTTGACCAGTGACAATAATATTTGGATCCTTAAATAAGCCTTCAGTCAAAGAAGTCTGCCATTTGCATAAGCAAAGTTTTGGAAATCCAAATACAGTTGTACGGAAGCTAATAGGGCTGGCACGTCTTAAACATCCAGGTTCATAATCGCACTAAAACAAGAGAACCGGCGTCAGTTGCACTTGCATTATGACGCCGAGTAACACTATGTGACTACTCTAAGAAAACTACCAATGCAACAGACCAGAATGATATTCACAACAAATAGTTAGAATGCCAAGTACTTCATAGGTTTCTTTGCTTTCAGTCTGTCAAGTTTCATGAGTATGAAACGGAGTCCGGTCACATTGCTTCTACCGACAAAGATCTAGGATAAAAGTGGCATAATAATACTTTTCGTACATGTCAAAACTGTTGGGGAACTTTGATTCCACAATGTTATTTGTAAGATGACTATAAACAATATTACGTAGAAGGTCCTTTGGCGAGACTCTAATTTAGGGACGACCTTGGAACGAATCTTAAATGACCTTGATAATTATTAGCCAATCAGGAGACATTAACTATCAAATGAAAAGATATTGTAAGTATGTAATGAATTACAGTGGATATTCTTCTTTGATACGATTTAAAAACTTGTTAAGGTTTGATAAGGGTTCAGATGTTCTGAATTCATAAAGCATATGGTATAGAAACTCGTCCATACGATTAGGGTTGTAGCATCTCAATAAACACCTCTTCTATAAAATCCGATGTAAACCGATCGCATGTTAGCACCCTAACCCTTAACCTAACCATAATCTTAACCCTAATCTTATAAGATTTCTATACCATATGCATTATGAATTCAGAACTTCTGAGCCTTTATCAAACCTCGACAACTTTTTAAATCAGGTAAAAAAAGAATATCTACTGTAATTCATTACTTTCTTGTAATATATTTTTACTTTATATTGTTTTTTTATTGGCTAATAATTGAAATTGCTCAAACGCTTCTGATTGGTTCGTTCCTAAATTAGAGTCTCGCCGTCCCATCTGTTGCAACCTTTCATTAATCACCTACTCTCTAAAATCCGCTGTGAACCGATCGTATGTTAGCATCGCGCGTTGAACTTCGCTCCATGACCTTGAAATCGCTCAAACGCTTCTGATTGTCTCCTCCCTAAATTAGTCTCGCCGGTCCTTTATGGTCAAAAAAGTTCTAAGATTCGAGACCAGGAGTCTGTTAAATGAATGGTGCTTGAGGTGTTCAACTACTTAAACCAGTTACTGTGAAATTCTCGGAATTGGGGACAAGACAGCTACCGAGACGCCACATGTACCACCAGAGATGTTTACGGAGAAATAAACTTACTCATACGTAGATTCCGACCCATAAAAAAAGAAACAATGTTCCACAGCCAAGGAAGATAGATGCTACAAGTGATAGAAGCAATTCTTTCAGCAAAACGCGGGAAAACTTGTTTGCAGTTAGTCCATATACAATAAACCATGCCATAAAAAAGGCCTCGATGGTCAAAAACAAGGTAGTGAGTACAGTATAAGTGGCAGGATTGATTTGAGGCACGTATCGCTCCATATGATCTAAAGTGATCTGAAAATAAGCCTGAATGTGTCAGCACCAAACCTACATCCATGTCTTCGTCAAACGAATGTTAGAACTGCCAAGGTCATGTTACGTCATATTACAGTGCTCAATAACTTCTTTACAGGACATTGTAAACCTATTTCAATGTGCTTTTGTGTCATGACATGAACTCATCTATTTATCACTCTTATGTAGTAACATTTGGGAACAGTTTTAATTTTCCGTAGCTTTCAGTACAGTTACACAGCTACAGTCAGCACAGAGAACTAACCAAACATTCAGAAGTTAAAAGACTTTTAACGTAGGTGAGTTTTCCTGGGGGTAAATGATATACTTAGGCCAATAACCTTCAGCTCGTGCTCCACTCCAACTTCCAAGATTTAAAAATAACGACCTTTTCACTATTAGTCTTGTTTCTCCTATTGGTAGAACGAGGGTTAATCACTGGCATGAAAATCTTTGGGTCAAAGAAGAGCTATCGATCAATCTGTTTGAAATTAAGTATTCGCGATCAACTCGAGTAGGCGTCTAATCACTTGGCATGTATAATCTACCTTAGTGATCTACAGGTTCATATGTTGCAGGCGAATTTTCTCGAGTACTATTTGGTTTAAGTCTGAACAGGTGTTCACGTAGTTGGTCCACGTAATTTTCTAAAACAAGCTTTTTTATTGTCAGTTCGTGGATGACTAAACTCTCCCGTGGTTTCAGAGTCGTCCTATTGAACATTGAGTCATTATCAATGGTTATCCGTATTCCCAACAAAACCAATAGCAGGATTTCTGTTCACTGACTGGCATTTGAGTGTGATATTCGGAGATAGCCAATAGTTTTAAATAGATTGATGTCTCAAGTGAGAAAGCGATATGGAGAAATAGACCTACATACCTATACAGTCCTTGTTTACATTGCTAGATAGTATATAGTAACGTAGATTAAGAGACATGTTTGCTGTTTTTTGCTGTTTTAGCAAACCCATTTTACTGAGACATGTCAATACTACTAGAGCTTTTTAACGAACCATGTTAGCTTGTAGTGTGGCGTCGAGTCGTGTTTGACTATGAACACAACTACAAGGAGGTTGCGAGCCAGAAATCAGAAGGCCGTTGTAGGTTGTAACGAGATATATTCGTTGGCGATCTCGTGGTGTCAAAAATACCGAGATCGTGCCAAGGAAATACAAGTGGAATCAGTGGGCGAAAGCAGGAGTGTACAAGGTCACAATCAACGGAAGGATAATGGAAGATTAAGATATGTTTTTAGTACAGTTAAACAAACAAGTACAGTAAAACAATTAGTTATAATAATAATTGTTTCCGTTAAACAAATCGCGTTCTCTTCATAAAAGTAGGTCTCTACCAGCTAAACATAAATATGGTTAACCAGTTATTAATATCGATCAATATAATAAGCTGTGTAATAATCAGTATTGCAGTACGATGATACACATGATCATTTATCAACAGACTAACATAAAAATGGGTTAACACAGGTAGGAACCAACTGATAAATTTGAAATTGATATGTGAATTAACAACAGGCTGCATTTCCTTTGTTGGACACATTATGGTAGAATTATGATTCTTTTCGATGTTAGTAAATTTATCTTGACTACAATAATAATAGACCCAATCCCAAAATGGTATGTGTATGTCATCATATAACTACCTAGTTGATATAATGAACGGTGTACAACATTTTTTTCATCTCTACACGTATATTATGTTAATGCATCAATAAGACAAATCACGTTATATCAGAACCAGGATTTGCGATCCAAAATAGAAGCAGATTCACACTAGAGAATATTTATTTCAATTCAATTACAAGCAGGCTCACACAGTGAGTCTAGAGCACAAATAAATAATGCAAACCAAAATCACATCCTCAATAGTTCATAGGATATGGCTGTTTGTCCACGCTCGACGACCGATCGTACTTCATATTCACTAAGCATCACTAATGCATAACATCTTACTTGAGTTTCACATCATAGTCCACGCCGATTCGCCCTACTCCGAAAATCAGAAATCGAACGTCTAACACTTCGGATAAACATATTTTGAGTTGTGTAGATGGTAATGTACTCCATAAAAAAAGGTTACACGGGGTGACGCTATAGAATTATGGTCTACTATGATATTGGTACTGCTGTAATAATAGACCTAATCCTAAAATTGTAGATTTGTCATGATGTAACTGCCTAATCTATAAGATCTTACGTGGAAGTCACATCATCTACTACACCAACACACTGTATCGTACCAACTACCAGTACATGATGGAGAACAAGCTTAGGTTAGAGAAGAACAATATATTTAGTATGAATAAAAGATATAAGGTAATATTCAGCAGAGACCACGCATGCATGGCCGAGCCATGCCATTCGATCAAATCCAATTCATTCATTTAACTTTTCCCGCCTTTTCCGCGTTAAATATTGAATATCTATTTTCTGAGTTGTCTTGTGTTCAGCTTTGAAGATTGTGTGGTTATGGTCCAATGCACTACACTACTCCCCCACCAGAATCATCGTGACGTTGATTCGATACCAAATTGGATGGGATCGTCGCGCGCCGGAGGTTACCAAGGATAATAAGAATCCTCCGGGTATTGATAAGCTGAAAGATAAATCAAAAAGAAGGCGGCAGCATCTGGTCGGGAAATACATGTAATAATTTTAAAATATCTGCCTTCATGCTTAACACGCTTGAAATGAAAATTTGGGTGAAGATTATTTGAGCTATAAAAATAAAGGATTAAAATAAAATAACAAAACGATGTGTGTCAATAGCCGTTGGTTAGTAACTTAACGTGTAGGTAGTAAGTATTTTGTATTTAGAAATACAAAAGTAGTAAATATTGTAAAAATGTTAAAATTGTATTACTTTTGGTTAAAATTATGAAATCAATTAACGATTATGCCGGTAACCTGTCCATATGTGATTTCCAATTGCATCTGTATTAGTATGTGGAGATAAGCCTGACAACCTTATTTTGTAAATAGTTTTCAATGTTATTTGTATTTATTTTGTCAACCTTCCACTGTATGTATATTTAACATTAAATGACTGTAACTGTTGTTTTAGTAAATGACCTTGAAGACACTTTCCGTTGTGCTACTACATAGCGTGGCATACCGTTGCTGGCTAACAAATACACTGCTTCTCACACATTCCTCGTTCTATTTTCATTTGTGATTGAGTTAACGGAAGTCTAAATCAAATACTATTTACATTTATAGACGGTAATCGGAATATATCACATCCTACGTCGGATTATATCACTCGAGAGTTCGCCAACCTGCTCAGAATCAGCAAACATTTATAATTGTGGATTTACATTACTGGACGTAATTAGAACATGCAACGTTTGGTCAATTTAAGTAACGTCACTAATTTTTTATTGTATTTGTAACAATTAATTGTATATATTAATATTACTATTGATTTTTAGTAACTTTGTCTATACTTTTCGCGTTCATATCTGTTTGGTCCACCACAATTATTTGGTGAGCCTCGATTTTTTATAGACATCTATTATATATATCTACATATTTTTTTCTTACTATTACTAATTGGTACGACACACCCTTTTTGTTTTTGGCATTATGAACTCTCCTAATAAACTTATTGATATAGATAGTCCATCAACCAACCCCTTTCGTTCATCACAGCCAGAAGATAATGTTTTGAACGCTATTTCTGAACTAAGATTACCAACGCACGGTGTTATTAATCCCAGGATCTGGTTTGCACAGGTTGAGGCATTATTTTTGTCGGGAGGTATACGCTCGCAAGCGACAAAATATGCATACGTCGTTGGAGCATTACCCATAGAAGTGGCAGCAGAAGTCGGAGACCTGATAGATAACGTACCAGAAACGGACCCCTATGACAAAATA